CGTTATTTTTCGTTAATAATTCAAAATCATTCAGTTTTTCCTTAGTAACCCCCGTAACTAAGAAAAAATCGGAATCACTGCACCAATGAATTATTTACGAAATACCCAGGCGGGATAATTGATACATTTGATTAAGGAGGCGGTGGTATAAAGTATTCTATTAAAAATATGAAAAATTTTGCGTAGGTAATAAAATAAATATTTCTTGCTCAACTTTTTTTTTTATCAATATATTTTGCATTAAAAGAAGATACATGATTCAACATAATTTGTGTCACTACAATATGGTTTCTAAGAATAAGCCGAAAACATTATTGTCAGGTGACCTATAATATAAAACCAGTTTTAAAAACTCATTGTATATTTTCGAAGAAACTATCTAAAAAGTTATCAAAACTACCTGCTAGATTTTACACACTAGAAATTTTATATTTAGTTTTAGAACAAGCAAAATTTTAGTGTCGTGATTAAATTCCTAATAATAATAGATACTGCTCGCTTATCTCAGTTTATTAAATTTTTAGTTAAGATACTCGTAGATGTAATACCTACACATTTTATGTAAAATATAATATATATTTTATATAGGGTTATTAAATGATTCTAACATCGAAGTAACATGGAAAACAAAGAAAAATTTGCCGCTTCTCAATTTATTAAATCCATTTATGAATTAGGTATATTGATAGTTTTACTATTAGAATATTTTGTAAAATATTCTCTTTTGCAAGCTAAATTGGAATAAGTATTTTCACTTAACAATTACTCTAGTTTACAAATAATAACTTGTTGAATATACCTTTAATCAAATTATTATTTTTGTTTATTACTTTTAACTAAACAAAAATAATTGTTATTTTTTTCTTATCACGTCACAGTTTTTTTTGTTACGAGCTATAATTTTCCTGCTTTCTGCACAAATGCCTGCCAATTTAATTAATAAGTTAATAAAAATAAGTTAATTAAAATTCAAATTGTTGCTGAATTATTGCAAAAATTATCATCAGATGGGTCTAAATGGGTCTTAAAATACATTTCATTGACTCGCATTTGGACTTGTTTTCTAAAAACTTAGGCATCATCAGTGCGAGCGTTTTTATCAACATCTGAAGGGTTATAAAAAATCGGCACAATAGTTTTTGGGACGAAAATATGTTAGGAGATTACTGTTGGACTGTTATAAAGAAAACTAATCCAAAAAAGTAGAAAAAACCAAAGTAAAATAACTCATTTGTAACTTGTTGTTTAGCGATTTTAATATTTTTGTTAATTACATATTTCTTAAATGTGACGTGGTAGACTTTTTTTCATACTTTTTTTGAACTCAGTGAAAAATCTATAAAAAATTAAAAATAACTCTCAACTAAGATGTATAAATCGTGTAAACTAGTGTTCCTATCATCCACAAATCTCCGTTGACATAATGAGACGCAATAATAATGAGTCTATTCTCCCTCAAACTATTAAGTTATTCTTGCATCAAAGTCAAAGTTTCATTAAACCTTAAGAATCACAAAAGGAATGTTGTCACTTGCAATTAAGAAAATACAAATGCAAAATAAATAAACGTCTACAAACGCAAAATACATCTTACCTAAATTGGCCACAGTTATTCACAGTTACAATTATGAAATGTATTGAAATAGTATTGACTATTCAATTCACCTCTCTCCAGACATTTACTATCATATCTTAGTAACAACAAATTCAAACCACTATTCCACTTATGATAAAGTACAGCTGGATATTCCACGAGTGGTTGCAGTGAATATTTTAAACTAACTTCGTTTTTTACCAGTTGCTATAAAAATAAAATCATGTGTAACGCAAATTTGCCATTTAGTTCATTGAATAGTCTGTACAATACAATTTGTTGTCAAAGATTGTGGAATATTTTTATTCACGGTTATTGCACTTGCAATCACCATTCGTGCTGCGCACTCATGGTGTTCATACAGCGAATGACCATAAAAATATTCGACAATTTTTGACTACTCGTATTATAACTAATAATAAAATGATCAAAAACTTTAAAGACGACTTCGACATGATATTAGAATCGCATATAAAAAATAACTATGTATTTAACTTTAAACATAGTATTATTGCAAAAACAATATAAACAATACCAGAACAACTTCATTCTTTATGAGCACTTGATGGGTTTTGTCACCTGTTTGCAAATGAATAATTACAGGATGCCCGCAGGTGTATGGCTATTTGCCATGGTGACTTGTAAACTTAAACCTGTATATTTGATACTTTGAATAGAATTTTAAAAAGTATTTACAATTTTTTTAGTACGTAAGTAAGGTGTAAGTGAGTACCGCTGCAGGATACCAAATTAGCTTTTTGTAATGCAAGATGAATCAAAATGACCTTTTTTTGAAAAAAGAGTAGAGTAGAGTACCTACATGCATGGAAGTCCAAATATACAGGGTGTCTCAGCCCGCTAAAAAAGTCCATTCGTGACCTTAAAATGGTAAAATTAAAAAAAAGTGTATAGGAGATGCATCACCTAAAATTATTTTCAACCATACAGCATGTCCCAAAAATAAATGACGATACAAACTTGTGGTTTTTTTTAATGAAACATCGTATGTTTCTTGCTATTTTTGGATGTAGTCTTTTAAAATAATGTTTTTACGCTGAACTTTTATTAGTCGATTTCGATTCGTTTTAGAAATAAGACGTTTTTTTTTGACGAAAACATTCCCTTTTAAAATTTATAACAAAAACTAAGACTACTAGATTAAATAAAGATTAATAAATTAAGAAGTTTGCTAAAAGTTAAATAACTTGAAAAATTTAAATGGAACACCCTATTTTTTATTTTTGCATCTAACAGACTGATAACTTGTCTATCTAGAAAAGTAAACTTTTAATGTTTGATAAATGAAAAGATATTTAACATTAAATATTAATTGTAGCAACAATGCTTATCAATATCTGAGCAACCATAGTAATTCTACCAGGGATCACTTATCCGTTGATTTACGGGGTTTGTTTGATAAATGTGGTAAAATTCCTAGTTAAAGAAAAAATTATTGGTAACAATATTTTTTATTTTTCAATATAATCTTCATTATGATCTATGCACTTCATCTAGGAACTTTCTAATTTTTTTAAACCATCGGAAAAAAAAGATTTTTCGAGTGCTGCAAAATATTCAGTCTTTGTTTGAATGAAATCTCTCTTCACCAAGCAAAATTTTTAGATTTGGATGTAGGAAGAAGTCACACAGTGCTAAATCTGGTGAGTAGGGTGAATACGGAACTAACTCAAATTATAATTCAGCGAGTGCTGAAATCTCCCCGTTTGACCCCGTTTAAATTCGTTTATCCAGAAATAGATAGTTTTCAACAAAGGTGCAGAGTCTCCATGTACTTCCGCTATTTTTTTTTACCTGAGCGGCTGTCCATTGTTTAAAATAAAAATGTTTTATCACAGCGCGAAATTCGTTTTTTTCGATCCTCGAAATTTGTTCAAACAACTTATTTTTAAAATTCTTTAACTTTTCAACCAGGCGTCACTTTTTGTTGAAACTTTGGCAGACTTACTCTGAAAGATGACATTAGTGCGGTTCGCCAAATTTATTGACGTATAGCTTGTTCCAAATCTGGTGGCGAACTGACGTTGTCAAAAATTACTGAATTTTGACACTAAACATATGTTTACTATTAAAAAAAATATTGTTCATAGGCGTCGTATGAAATAATATTTCAAAACCACTGTTATTCTGTACAAAATTATAATAAGTAGGTACTCGTACATAAGATGAAGAGTGATGAACAAATTATTAAATTGTTAACGCATGGAAAGAATTTTTAAAAATGATATCCCTAACAATCCTTTTCTTCAAAATTTTTAGAGAAAAAAAGTACGCCCATGTATTTTTTTTATCTTAACCAAGTGTCTTTTCTGTCACTGTCAGTTCGCCACCAGATTTGGAATAAGCTCTACGTGGTCATAGTTTTTTACCAGACATGTCAAACAACCCTCGTATCTAGAGATTGTAAAAGTCGTTATAAATACCGAAATTCGAATTATTTTATTGTAAAAATAAAGAATAATGAATTCAATTTAACACAATTATTGATTAATAAGTGATATTTCTTCCATTTCTTGTGCACTTTTTGGCTGCTGAAACAATAGTAATTATTATTTTTTATGTTTAACGTTAAATATAAATATATTTTTCGTTATTGATTATAAACACCTAAAAGTAAATAATTTTAGAAAGACAATTTAATGATCTTTTAAATGCAAAAACAATAAATAGGGTGTTCCATTTCAATTTTTTAAGTTATTGAACTTTTAACAAACGCCTTCATTTTTTTATCTTTGCAAATGCAACACACTAAATAAATGTTACAACCTTATAACTTGTACCTTCTTCTTTGCGGTAGTAAAATAATATTTCTATATGTCTTAGTTTTTGTGTACCTAATAAATTGTTAAAAAGTGCATGTTTTTGTCAAAAAACCCGTCTTATTTTTAAAACTAAGCAAAACCGACTAATAAAAGTTTAATAAAAACATTGTCATAAAAATCTACATCCAAAAACGCTAAAAAACATACGGTGTTTGATTTAAAAAAACACCATTTTGTAGTGTAACTTTAGGCTAGATTAGTATGTATCAATGTCCTATATATATTTTTTTATTTTACCATTTAGAGGTCACTAATGGACTTCTTCAACTTGCTGGGACAGCCTGTATGTCATCACTAAAGCAACATTAATTTTTAAAAATCATCCAATTAAAATCTAAAATAAAAAAAACAAAAATTTACAGGGCTATGGACGATTGGACGTTTATATTACTAAATAAAAAGTCACCTATACGTATACAAAACATTTTACTTGCTTAGCCTGTCTATTTGTAACCATATTTAGTATTTGGTATAATATTATTATTATTTCTATAGGTATTCTTAATTTTTTATATTTAGTTTTAACAAAGAACAAAAGCAACACCACAATTTCCATCTGTACTCACCTAAGTATCGCTAAGCATCCAGTTCCATTTATTTATCAATAATAATGAGCACTAACTCACAACTATTAGGCACATTTCGCAATTAATCTCATAAGAAATAAGGTGAAAACAAATGATGCTCTCTTCTGTAGCGCGAGATGACAACACGAGGATTGTTCGCGGCGTATTTAGCGAGGGTGTCAGGGTTGGGTTGTATTTGGTTCATGGCCAGATGGGCTGTGCGATGCTCCCCGTCTGATCGATACCGAAGCGTCGTATGAAGCAAGAGGGTGGCAAACACCTGTCCCACATAACAAACATTCTTACGGTCTTACTAATCACGTTGATTACTTTTTCATTGGCGTCGCGTCGAGACGCTGGGATAAGGTAGTGATCCTTGACACATCAGGACTAAGGTGGAAAAAATAGCATCAACGGCGCAGATTGTGGTTTTTATATCTGCGTAGTAAAACTAATAAAACAAAAGAGGTACAAACTAGGTATATAATAATCACTAAAAGTGCTGGTAATTCCAATTTTTTTAGTAGTAAGTAAATAATTATTGAAATAGAGAAATTTACAACTTGGTTTAATTCAGATAAGTCGGCGAGTTCATTACAAATAAATGATAAAAGTCTCGTAATAAACCAGCAACTTGACACTTCTTAATTTTTTTATTTATAGAATATACTTTATCATGTATATAGAATATAGTATATCATGAGCGTTGTAAAAATTTCATAAATGTATGTCTTGCATAGATTGTTATTTTTAATGAAATGTCTAAATAATTAGGATTATACTTCAGAGAGTTGGTAGAATATTATAAAGTTGCTCACAAGGCTGTTGTTAATGCTTATTCTTAATTTATTCTAGAAAAAAAAAGTTTTAATCACAGTAATGTAAATAAGTATTCCACTACTAATTTATAATTTTTGTAATACGCATGTGTGGTCATTTTGACCGATAAGACATGATGGGTGAATCTGATTTAAAATCGTCGAAATGGAGCAGTGTACTCCCCATAAGTCAGAGAAACTGCTACAAAAGTAAATTAATACTAATTTAGCAATATATTATGCATAACTTGACAATTTAAAAGAGAAAATTAGTGGTATTTTTGTAATTTTAAAGTTGGATTAGCGCCCAAGAGAAGTAATGTTATTACTCCTCATAAGATTTAGTGATGTGTTTCCCAACCTTTAAAAGATTAATAATCAGCATATTACATTAGTGATTGTGAATAATATACTATTACAAACCGCGCAAGGAAGAGCTTCATTGCAGCCGAGTGTTGGTTAACTGTGCGAGAGCGAAGATCAGTTAAAACGCAAAGCTGATATGAAGCCTTCCTTTAAGGTTTGTATACTATTTTATTCGCAATCATTTAATGTTAAAATATGATTTCTAACACATTTAAGCGGGGCATTACAATATAAAAATTATAACACTGTCAAAATGATAATTCCAAAAAATGACCCTTAATCCTTTATTTAGATACTTTTTGAATATTATACATGTTTTATGGCCGTATTGGTAAATAAAGAATATCAAGAAGTGACAACACATAATTTAATTATTTGTAATGATCAAAGTTATACAAACTATTCTTCAAGTTTGTATTTTTTTTCGGGGTATGTAATAATTATTCCCGGCTAGTTTCAGTAAACATCTAGTTCCCAGTTGTTTTTCATGCTATGAAATTGACAGATTGCAATATGATTGCGAATAAAGTCTATTGTCACGTGACTAAATTGAACCAACCTGATTTTTAGATTCATGGATTAATCGCGCATTAACTTTTACAACAAATCAATTTTTAATTTGCCTTCTATAAACTGACCATAACACAGGGCGACAAAAACAAAGTCATGTCGTGACAACTTGACAAATTTTATATCATTTTGTTCGTCTCAGTGAGACAAATCAAATGCACTAAAAAAATTTAAAAAGTCCACACACTTTGAACAAAATAATTTGTTTCTAATTTAAATGAATTGAAAATACTTTAACTTTAAAATTCAATTCCTTCAAATAAAAACCATTCTAAAGGGATGGACTTGCCCTTTAGAATGATATGCAATTTGAAATTGAATATTGGCAAACTTTTCTTCGAACACTGTTCGAAAAAGTTCGAAGTAATCTAAGAAAAACCCTACCAGTAATTTTTTTTTCTTCGTCACCATCGTGTAGAGCATCTTTTTATTAGTAAGAATCCAAATTTTTAAAATAATATACCGCGAGTAGTTTTCAAGATATGATTTTTTTTAAGTTAAGGTTTGCTATTTAGGTATTGCGCCATGCATGTTAATCTTACTAAAAATTACATTTTTATAAAAGTACTTGTTTTAAGCATCGCCGTCTCCATAGAAATAATCCTTTTCTCGCCTGGACATTTTTTGAGTTCAAGTGATTCCCGTTGGCGCTTTAATCTGGGGAAAATTTTTAACAAATCCAGTTTTTTAGCTTAAAGGGTTCAACCTCATAATATCAATTCTCCCTGGCGTATCTAGTTTTGTTGTATCCTTCCTTCCCAGCATTTATTAATTGCGTTATTTTTCGTTAATAATTAAAAATCATTCAGTTTTTCCTAACCCCCGTAACTAAGAAAAAATTGGAATCACTGCTCCAATGCATTTTTTACGAAATGCCCAGGCGGGATATTGATACATTTGATTAAGGAGGCGGTGCTTAAAACAAACAAAGAGTACCTGTGTACTAATTAAAGCAAATAAAGAGTGTTTTTGTTCTAAAAATGATCACTGATCATTGAGCAAAAAGGATCTAGAAGTTTAAAGCAGTAGCTTTAAACAGAAGAGCAAATCTTTTTCAAAGTAAATCACTTTCCATTCAGATTCCAACGTGTTCACTTTGTTCTAGCTTTTTGAACTTTTTTTGAAAATGTTCTCAGCAAATGCTTTCTCATCACTTTAGAATGATGTTAAATGCAATAAGTCAGTTGCTTCGTGTGCAACTGTTATCACAACTACTACCAACAAGCTAACTGAAGCTGATCATAGAATGTACCAACAAAATAAATCAGGTGACTTATTGCATTTAACATCACTCGAAAGTAATGAGAAAGCATTTGCTAAGAACATTTTCAAAAAAAGTTCAGAAAGTTAAAACAAAGTAAACAAGTCAAAATCTGAATGGAAAGTGACTTGATTTGAAAAAGATTTGCCTTTATATTTAAGACTCGTGTCTTAAACTTCTAGATCCTCTTTGCTCAACGATTAGTGATCATTTTTACAACAAAAAAACTCTTTATTTGCTTTAATTAGTACGCAGGTACTCTTTATTTGTTTTAAGTAAACAAACAGTTTTCGTTTATTCTAATTAGAACAAAGAAGGTGCAATTGACCATTTTTAAACAAAAGAAGAGTCTTAAAACAAATACTTTTATAAAAATGCAATTTTAAGTAAGATTAACATGCATTTCTCTGATATGGCGCAATACCTGAACAGCAAACCTTAACTTCAAAAAATCATATCTTGAAAACCACTAGGCATATTCTTTTGAAAATTTGGATTACAACTAATAAAGAGATGCTCTACACCACCGCCTCCTTAATGAAATGTATCAATATCCCGCCTGGGCATTTCGTAAAAAATGCATTGGAGCAGTGATTCCGATTTTTTCTTAGTTACGGGGGTTACTATGAAAAAACTGAATGATTTTTAATTATTAACGAAAAATAACGCAATTAATAAAAGCTGGGAAGGAAGGATACAACAAAACAAGATACGCCTGGGAGAATTGATATTATGAGGTTGAACCCTTTAAGCTAAAAAACTGGATATGTCAAAAAATTTCCCCAGATTAAAGCGCCAACGGGAATCAGTTGAACTCAAAAAATGCCCAGGCGAGAAAATGATTATTTCTATGGAGACGGCGATGCTCTACACGATGGTAATGATGAAAAACAAATTACTCGTAGGATTTTTCTTAGATTATTTCGATTTACTTGGAACTTCTTCGAACACTGTTCGAAGTAAAGTTTGCCAATATTCAATTTCAAATTTTTTATCATCCTAAAGGGCAAGGCCATCCCTTTAGAATGGTCTTTATTTGAAAAAAATCAGCCTAATAGTTATTGAGTAATGATTTTTTAAAGTTAAAGTATTTTAAATTCATTTAAATTAGAAAAAAATTATTTAGTTCAAAGTGTGTGGACTTTTTGAATTTTTTTTTAGTACATTTAATTTGTCTCACTGAAACGAACAAAATGATATAAAATTTGTCAAGTTGTCACGACATGACTTTTTTTGTCGCTCTGTGTAATTCACCAAAATCTTTTAATCAAAAACAATTAAAAAAAATATATTCTAACAAAACAAAAGCAGATGTAACAGTTATTTATGTATTAAACGAATGAACAATTGTTTTAATCCCGAGAATGTAGGTAAATATCGACTTCGACCGAAGAAAGCCGAGGGCATTTTAATTTGAAGGATTAACGATGTGTATTCCAAAGATGCACACAAAACTTTTCTCCCTAAAGCTTAAATTAACAATAACATAAGAAAATAATAAATTTGCCAAATAATGTTATATATTTGGCAAAATATTCACTTCATTCAATAACAATTTTTGAGTGAAAATTAGTATCAACAAGTTTGTTAAAAAATACTCAAAAAAATCACTTCATTCATTTCCAGTTTACTTTAAGAGTAAAAGTCCGAACTTCATTTATTTTATTCCCGAGAAAATAAAGTACCATATTATTGGTCAAAAACCTCCCTGTTGAGAGCAAATAGTTATTTACGTATCAATGGAATTATTTTTTATCCTGAAATTAAGATTAACGATGTTTTTTTCCAGAGATGCTTAGAAAACTTCTCTTCTAACAGACTAAATTAATAGTAACATAAGAAACTGATAAAGTTGGCAAATAATGACAAAATTTATCAAAATTCAGTTTCAATTTTAACAGTCAAAATCGATATCAAGAAGTTTGTTTATGTCAAAAAACCCTCAAGAGATTTAATTCATTTAATTTCAATGTATATTTCTAGTTTTAAAAGAGCAAAAACCATTCATTTATTTTATTCCCGAGGAAATTAAGTACCAGATTATAATTCAAAAAGTCAGGGCCGCCGCTAGAGATTTTGACTCCCGCGTGCACATTTGAATTTGACGCCCCTTGTTAATTTGTTAAGAA